TCATTTAGAGACCGAACATTGCTGAGGGCAGCGTTCAACAACAAACACACCTTTCGTCCGATGTCACCAGTATCCATGCACCAACAGAATGGTGGAATTTGCATAGATTACTGTTACAACGAGGTAATGAAGACAGGAAGGGAACTATACATATTTTCTCTGACACCCGGTGTCCACCTGGGTTACAAGAGACTTCCTGCACTCTAATGTTGGTCTTGAGAGGTTACATACTTGGACCGTATGGTTACTGTCCATGGCGTTAATGATTGGTTGTCAACTTACAATCTCACCGAGTGTCTTTTGAAAGATAAGACCAACATAAGTCCATAAAAGCTTAAAACCGAATCTTACCTAAAAGTCACCCCCAAACTCACCTCCATGGAATATATAGCGACATCTCCAGCTATTTCGCTGTAATGACGTTGTATCACAATGTCAATGTTTCCATTGTTATGTCATCGCTTACTGTGACGTCACGATCAACAGACATCATTAACCTCTGAGGCGAGGTGAGGTTTTGTACCGCATAGTCTCAAGAGACCATTTAATACTGATTACAAACTAACAAAGCTGAAAAAATTTTGAGTGGTGAATTAGAAATATCGATGACTTCATAGAAAACAGATGAGATGTAGTGAAAAGGGGTACAGTGATGTGCACACGTGTGTTTGTGTGCGTGCGTGCGTGCGCGCGTGGGTGTTATAAACTTAGGTCAGACACATTATACTGACTCCGATCCCACCAGCCCGTGTGTTACCCAAATAAAGCAAAATGCTACAAGGAAACAACAAGTTCCATTTTTAAGTTTCTTTGGAGTGACGTGGCCGGGGATCAAAATCCCACTTTGCGCTCCTCAGACAGACGTTCTACCCACTAAGCCACGAAGCGATCCCATCGGGAACAGCAACTGACAAATTGCATCAATGACTGCAGGCAATGTCGCCCGTGACGCGCGTATCTTGTATGTGGTAATGTACCAAGCGGCTCAAGTGTTGCTGGACATTTGTTAATGTTATACATCTACCCTGGTTGAAGTATCTTCAGAGACCCTTACACTGCACTATACACCCTCACAACACACAGTCCTTACAATCACGTCGGCTGGTCAAACACTGATCTGAATCAGGTCAAACATGCTGCCCTGTGCCTCTCACTGTGAAGGATTAAATGACAAATGTGCAAACACAGCCATTGTCATCAGCTGACCCACACAGGAGCACTGGGTTTCAGGTGTCTACAGATATTCTGCTGATACATTGAGCATTATGGTACAAATATTTGAGCATTATGATACAAGTATTTGAGCATTATGATACAAGTATTTGAGCATTATGATACAAGTATTTGAGCATTATGATTCTGGTTACATCAACACAGGGAGCGGTGGGGTAGCCTAGTGGTTAAAGTGTTCGCAGTTCACGCCGAAGACCCCTGTTCGATTCACAATGTGAGAAGCCCATTCCTGGTGTCCCCAGCGGTGATATTGCTGGAATATTGCTAACAGCTGCGTAAAGTCCGACTCACTCAGTACAACAAGACTACTCTTCCTTATTCTCTCGCCTCACTAATTGTATGATGTTCTACTTCCTAGTCCGCTGTCTGATTCTGACTTCATCATGAGAGTGTGTTTATGGATCACTATCAGATAGTGCTTATATCAGGTGCTGTCGATACATGTATATTGATATGGTGGCCGAATCCTGCTCCAAAGGTGGAACTTAGAACCTTCCTCCGTATAACCTGCTACCATGAATCGCACCACATTGCAAAACACTCTTTAAAACTTCGAGAGAGAAATCGCATGGGCACAAACCCATTTCTGGTGTAATATTGCTGGAATATTGCTAAAAGTAAAACTAAACTCACTCACTCACTCGAGAGAAAAATGCTAAAACTGATGATAGTACTTTGGTATTGCACCTGCAGACTGCGAAGTTGTCTGTCCTTGTTTCAAAAGTCCTGAATGATGGCCCTTTCCGGTTTTAACAGACGGTCACCTGGTCAGTATGACCAGTCTTGCCTAACAACAACGTAGAGTTTGGATTCGAACCAACCGCTTCCGTAACCCTGTTGCACCACCCTTAAATCACCTCACAGTTACAGGTCATATCTGACACGGATTGTTACCTAACCTCATTTCCTCCGTAGAAGTAATATCTTTGATCTGAAAAATTACGTCGTTTTATCACCTAATCTGACACTTGAATTGTTGCCAGGAGTTAGACTTATACGACAGGTATATCACTAATATATTTAGAACGAATAAACGGGGTTTTTTTTGGTTGTTTTTTGTACTCTTTTAACCATTACATATAAAAAACACGAGGTTAGTCTTGAGCGGAACACCAAATTCATTCATAAACTGTCGCCAGAGCAATGCAGTGAACCGGAAGTTGAGTTATGTGAGGAAGGATTTACAGTTAGTTCCCAGATAGCATTCAGACGTCGGCCCAACGTTGGCAATGGTTTTGCCAACATTGACAACGTTGGCCCAACGTCCGAATGCTATCTGGCTTGTATGTAAAATCTTCCATCCCAGCATAACAGATGTTAAAGGATGGTGCTTCATGTAAGTCTGTCCGGTGCTCGGTATTTAGGGGATAAAATAAGGGTTTATCACACGTCGATATGCTGTTTCTGAGTGGGGTATTCATGTACCTATAAAGGTTAGCACTGCGTTATTATTCCGATCAACTGATCAAAGTGCCCACGGGTTCTCTTTCAGTTCCCTGGGGAGCATACCTCCCAAGCTGCCTAGAATGTTAACAGTCATCTTACCGGGTACCCATGCACGGTTTAGAGTGAGTGAGTATGGTTTTACGCCGCTTTTAGCAATATTCCAGCAATATCACGTCGGGGTACACCAGAAATGGACTTCACACATTGCACGGTTCAGAGAACAAAGACATATTTCAAGCAGTCATCTACATAAGGGACACCCCATGCTTATGATTCTATTTTAGTCAAAACCAAGGCCGTGGAAGTTGTCGAACGCTTGCCCATCCACCTCCGCCGCCAACGTTGCTGTTTTGTGGCTTGTACGCTGTACATCTGACAAACGAAACCGCCATCTACGGACACTAATGTTTCCATACTTTCATCAACCTATGTAAGTTACCACTATACGCCTGCTTCTGTCTACACACAAACTGAACACTGAAAGTCACAGTGAAGGATAGAACATAGATAATAGATAAATTCCATGTTGACACCATTTACCCAGTTAACTCTTAAACCTGGTCTATGCCATACGATACCACCAGTCAAACCCTTCAATATAAAACTTCTAAACCTGTTGTCAACACATTTTTAATAATGAAGCAAATAGGTAAATATGTCATTCATTACATCCTTTAAACTGAGATTCCCATGGCTTTTATACAACACAACTGCAATCCAATGTTATATAAAAATCCTCGCTTTCTTCCTATGTAAACTCGGGAGGGACGTGGGGTAGTCTAGTGGTTAAGGTGTTCGAGGACCAGGGTTCGATTCCCCACATGTGTACATTGTGTGAAGCCCATTTCTGGTGTCCCGCGCCTTAATGTTGCTGGAATATACTAACAGCGGCGTAAAAAAAAACTCACTCACTCACTGTAAACTGTGAAAGGGAAGAGACCACGATTAAGTATGTCGTAATAAACATTTATGTGTGTCTGTCTTTGTGTGACTAACTGAACCTACAAGGAAGTGGAGAGGATTGCCTTTCACTGACACCCAGTCAAACAGACAGCACTGCCTCTAATGCTCCGGTTCACAGAGACTCCCAGAAAAAGCATTATTTCATTGTACTAAGTGACAAATGTGCACAGGGGGACATGTTTGCTCGTAATTTAGTTCCTGGTACCTGACGCAGGCGGTGGAATGTGTTTTCTAAAACCTGTATTATAATATATTTAGTCCTCTACCAGTCGGGCCCATACAAGGCTATATCTGATCATGTCGGATGTCTTTTAAATCAATCAAGTTGTTAAAAAGGCTGAGGTTTGCTAGAACGTTACCTAAATCTCATCCACGGAATATTCAACGATATTTCCAAGGATATATCGATGTAATTAAGTCGCGATTAATCAAATGTTTCGGCTGATTATCTTAATACAAAACGTTTAATACATTCCAAGGATATAGCGCTGTAATTAAGTCGCGATTATCAAATGTTTCGGCTGATTATCTTAATACAAAACGTTTCATATATTCCAAGGACATATCACTGTAATTAAGTCGCGATTAATCAAATATGCTGGCTCTTAATACGAAACGTATCTAGTTTTGGTGCTGCATGTAGTCCAACTTACCACCCCTAGTTCAAACTTTCACCTCACCCCCAGAGCACCACACAGTCGGTCCCTTGTCCCTGCAAGGTCGACATACCCACATCAAAACAGCCTATCATGAGCCAAGCAAGTGCATGTGCATACCCTTGACATGCTCGCGTATAAAGAAATGCACCTCTAATTACACGTATTGCATGAATTCCACCATTGTCCGACGGCAAAGCTCGGTACACACAGGTGTAGATCAAGGATTGACAGCTCGGATATGTATTTCAGTAATGTCCCTTGTGTGTAATCTACAGTTTTTATCAACATCTTCAAGTCGTAATTAAAATCAGTTTCGCGTTTCTCATGTCCTTGTTAGTGTCTGTATAAATAGTTATTTCACCACAATACAAACGTGGGCGGACATCACGAAAGTATATTATAAGAACATCTTGTGATGTGTATCCTGTTAGCATTGTTAGCGACAGTAAACTATCCCACAAACGAACGTGGAAGACTTTGCTGTGAGTTACAATGACAAGTATGTGACCATTCATTCATAACTACGTGCTTGTTCACATTCCATATTTTTTAACGCTGCTTATCATGATCATACAAAAATGTTAATAGATTATTGCTAATGATATCACCAAACAATCAAAATGATAATTTACACATCAAAACTGCCGCTGCATATACCGGCAGACAGAGACTGAACATTATAACTCTCTTTGAACTCACCTCGGCGAGAGCGTCCGCCTTTCGGGTGGTTGACAACTGAATAAGCCGGCGACTGAACAAACCAGTGAATGGTTCACCGTATGTAGTTGTAGCGAGTAAATAGGGCGGATCCAGTCGCCTACAGCGCCTCGTGAGCGTGTATGTTGTTGAAGCCACAGTAGGTCGGGAAGACACACTTGCTCTGTTCATCTTACGTGTGGATATATATGGACGTATGATCTGATTTTTGTCTTAACGTTCTACCGAAATTTTCATAAGTGAAATTGAAAATATGTACAATAATGTACATATCTGATCAAGACATAAATATTATCATTCTATTTGGATCCAAGACATTTATGGTTCAAACGACAGCTAAGTTGCGATATCAGGCCTTTGAATGGCATTTAGAAGTGAAACACATAAGCAAGACAAGTTTATGGATGTCAACATCGTATTGTGGATGAAGGAGTAAGTATACACTGCGCAACGTTCTGTTCCTTACAGTGACGAAGTGGACATCCATACAATTATCTTCCCGATATCAGTTTAGTGTCACGCTGATTTGAACAATATTTGTCAACATTTATAACTGTTGTGAACCCCACAAGCCCGGGTATGGTGTTTACAAAACTGTTAACAATCAGAGCGGATCTGCAAATCAAACCCCCCAATAATAGTTGTCGTAGCACTGCACAGCAAGTTATAACACATGGGTGACTGATGAACATATGCCTGGGTTACCTTGAGCTTAACATGTGTTATATATGTTGTATTTAGGATTACACTTTCTTTGCTTGAGCTTGGTTTAAACTGGGCATTTTATATATCACTCAACAAACTTCTGAACAAACGATGTTTTTGATAAATAAATAGATTGCCCCCGAACCACAATACTGAATAAATATTAGCCATTTATCATAAGGGGAGTGTGTGAGGGTATGTGTATGTGTGCGTGTGTCAGGTAATTATTACTGGACAAGTTATTTGATGAGGTTAGTCATAAGAAAATGTTACATGTTGCAAATTGCTACATAAAATTGGGTTGGTGGGAGTCAGCAAAATATGTCATAGTCAAAGACAAGTTCTTATAGTCCACATCGCACTCCTATGTCCAGTCTCGAAATGGATTTGTAATTCCCATGTTCCCATAAACGAAGAAGCGTTAATGTGCTTCGGTTTATATATGTTTCAAATAACTTTAACCTGAAACATAATATTCATTACAGTAGGTTCGTATGAATACTTACTTATATATTACTATAGTTCAGTCTGGCTATATAAACATATACTATGTGTCTTAAAAACAAGGAGGTTTACAGCAGGTGTTTCTTATCTGTAAGATGGACTTTACACTGACATATGTGAGTCTGCATGGTGACTCATCTGTAACTATTAACCCATGCTTATCAATAACTGGGTGTTCGCTCGTCGTCTCAATTCATTATCAACAGTACCGAGCAGACCACGAGAATGAAACTCAGCTTGACTAAACAGACCCGCGTGTGAACTAACTTGTTTACGCTCCGGACGAGTTCTGCGGTATTAGCGGTACTGTAAATACATCAGCGATATATATGACCAATTTCGCCGCTTGTAAAGAGTGTAACAATAGCGTAAATCCCTTCAGATCAAAGAGTTACTTCACAGGATGGTGTTTGGCCAGAATGTTAAAATGACAGCAATGACAATGAATAAGGAACGGCTCAACACACACCCCTACCATACACCTGTGATGCTTAGGTGACTGGTCGTGCAAACATTGATACAAATATTATTAGTCTCGAGGCGTCGGATATGTTTGAGAACGGTTGGTTTTTGAATTATTGATCCTCATTGCCGTTGGCAGGTAGGCCAACAATGCTATTGAAAACGTCAACGCTAGAGAATAAACACTTTCGATTACCTGCCAAAACAGATTCCATTCCACGCCAAATAGTGATGAAAGGTATAGATGGACAATCAGTGATGAAAAGTATGGATGGACAATCAGTGATGAAAAGTATGGATGGACAATCAGTGATGCCGCCAGGTGTTACTCCTGGCCCCGATTTCTCGAAACAAACTTAAGTTTTGACTCAAATTTCAAACTGAGTTTGACAATTTGAAACAGCTAAATTTTTAACTAAACTGCATTTTTAAAATATAAAAGCCCAAACAACTTAAGTAATCTGTCTACCAAACTCAAATTGTCTACTATGTTTGAGTTTAATATTGATTTCAGTTTATTCTGGGAAATGCATTTTTCTGTGTTTTCTCAAATTTGAGTTAAAACTCTGACTTAAGTCAAAACTCAGACTAAAGTTTGTTTCGAGAAATTGGGCCTGAAACAGGTGTGATGGTTAGCCTAGTGGTTAAGGTGTTCGCTCGTCACAAGGAGACCCGGGTTCGATTCCCCACATGGACCAAATGTGTGAATCCTATTGCTGGTGTTCCCAACCGTGATAGTGCTGGAATATTGCAAAAAGCGGCGTAATACCAAACTCACTCACTCACTCACTACTTCTGAAACATGACACATGACCTAGTTAGTAATGCAGGACATGTTTTGCCTTTCGCGGACACCTGGTGTTACAAATAATTTTCAGTGATCCATATAATACTTTGTAATTTGTGCACAATGGAAGAAGCTGTTTCACTGGTGAGTCGAGACTGTTTATTACATGCCATTCTTTGGTGTTCTACATTTATGAACATTTTAGACGTTTTAACAATGTCGTTAAATCAGTGTCCATTTACAACATAAGTGGTTCATATAAAACGGTTTACACTATTTACATAAAGTGAATTAATGGTGTTTCACACCTAGTCCATGTACCTTTAAACTAGACAATTTGTTCACACCGCATGCATCCCCGTACATGCATTCTTGAGACAATGAAAGGACGCAGTCCGCTCCAAGACCAGGATCAGCAGACCAGTTCGTCACAATGGGAACTAAGATATTACCTTGCTATAACCAGTCATTGTTACATGCGAGTACGTACTGTGTGTTCTCAATAAAAGGAGGACAATGAATAACGTGATGCTACAACCGGCCCCGCATCCCCTGCCCCCGTCCACGCTGTAGCCAGATAGGGCAACGACAGACGTTATTGATAGCGTGACCGGTTTCTCTGTAGTCTGTTGTGATGAGAATGGGCACATGGGTTCCAACAGCGATATTTTTGAAAATACGACCGTGATTATTTGCATGTTTGCAAGTTGTGTTTGTTTGTTGTTAAATGCCGCACTCAGCCATATTCCAGCTTTATGGCGGTGGTCAGTACATAATCGAGTTTGGACCAGACAATCCAGTGATCAACAGCATGAGTATCGATCAACGCAGCTGGGATATGATTACGTGTCAACCTAGTCAGCGAGCCTAACCACCCGATCCCGTTGGTCCCCTCTTACGACAAGCATGGGATGCTGTGTTTCAGCAAGTGAAGACCACACCCTCATACTCTCCACCAGGTACTGCCCATTCAGTTTCTACTACCCACCCCGCCCATGTTACCTACCCCTCCACCTAACTCACCAGTAATAAACAACCCAACCATCTGATGCTACCAACCTCATTCATCCATTTCACGCCGAAGACCCGGGTTCGATTCCTCACATGGGCACAATGTGTGAAGCCCATTTCTGGTGTCCCCCCGTCATGATATTGCTGGAATATTGCTAAAAGCGACGTAAAACCCAACTCACTCACTCACTCATTCATCCATTCATATTTCCGCGCCACCAATCCGTCCTTACAACATGCAGATTCAACTGAAATCCGCATTTCGCCACCCCTATCATACACCCCCCCACCCGTTTCATGCACCCGACCCCTGGCATACTACCCACGTTTCCCCTCATTTCTACCCCATTGCATGCTGGGTCGTCTTGAGGTGGAATCAGTAGTGTACACAGCTCTACTGGAGACTGTGGTCTAAGAGTGGCCAGACCCGTCCCGCAGGTTCATTAATCTTACCCCCCGACCAATAGATACACACATTCAGGCGTTACCCCGTAGTCCTGGACATGTCTGTATTTACTCATGTATTTAATGTCTTAAGGTATTACGTCAACCGCCCCAGCACGGCGTGAAATATCACACAATAATGGCTGTATAGGATTAATGTCGTTGTTGATCCCCACGATTCATAATAAACGACATGTCTATAATATTGCATAATAGATGTTTTAACATCGACACATCTACAAATGTAGGTAAACTTGGTGCCTGTTTGTCCTTGGAATGTGACGTTTCAATGTGTAACAGCTTAAAAGTTATTCATTTACGTCTGATAGACTATGTTATTGTAAGGTATTTCACCTTCGAATTTTAATATTACAAATTATTATAATTTCGTAACACACTTATATAAAATTTCATCTATCATAACAATATTGTTCAAGTATTAAGTACCTTGCATACTGGCATTATCGAATCAAAATGGTTCAAGTATTAAGTACCTTGCATAATACTGGCATTATGGTAACACTATTGTTCAAGTATTAAGTACCTTGCATACTGGCATTATCGTAACAATATTGTTCAAGTATTAAGTACCAGGGCGTGGGGTAGTGCAGGACTGAGTGTTTAAGGACGGCGTGTATTGTTCCCTTGCAATGACTCCCAAAAAATGCATTGTGCAAGTTCGGCTCCATTTTTAGACACAAAGACAGAATGTCTACAAGCAGTATCTAAAATGTTTCTGTCGCCAAGGAAACTCGCCCACACTGCGAATGTTACTTGGTTATTTCCTCAGTGTACAATGAGACGCCAAACACAGGCGACCCACAGACTAACAATAGCTGTTGATCCAAGCTGATAGACGACATTCAGATGTATCCACCCTCAGCTGGCGAGTTGTGTACCCGGGCCACTTGTGAAATGTCGCCAGACCACACGTTATGTCACACAGAGAAACAACGTCATAGATCTGATGGTGTTATCTCGAGGGTGTGGTCATAACGCTATAAAATATTATTTGGATTAAACGATATTTTCTTCCAATAAGTGTTCTTGTTACATTTGGTTGCAATTTGCAAACCAGGGCCTAGATTTTCGAAGCTCTCTTAGAGCTAAGATAGTCGTAAGTTAATGTTAATGTATGGCACTTACGACTATCTTAGCGCTAAGAGAGCTTCGAAAATCTAGGCCAAGAGCTCCAGATCGGCTGCGTATTTAAGTACAATT